GGGGGGGGCGGGGGCGGGAATACACGCTCGGAGCTGACCGCGGAGAGCAAGACTGGCAGCCCTTTTGGTACGCGCAGCACTCACTGTACTGCTGAGGTTCCCCCTCAGTAGGTCGCTCTCCCCTCAATTTCTGATCTCCCTCTTGCCCCGACGGGCAGGGACGAACCTTTCCTGAAGGCCATTTCGACAAAGAGATCCTTCTCCCGCCGTGCTGTGCTTGATCTCTTTCCCAGCCCAAATGCACTCAGCGGCTGGCCTCTGCCACGTTCTTCCCTTTAGCGAGGTATGAGCTGGAACCACTTCTGGGGTTTAATAAAAGCTGCACCTTGCTGTCCAGAAAATCATTCTCTTACCAGAAGGATTTGACCAGTTTGATTGCTAATATTCTGAACACTTCCACATAAATAATATTACATGGAAATAATTATAAAATCTTTCGAGACTATAATAGTCAGTGCAAGTCTGCCAGAGAGTTGCCACCTGCACATGCCTGATCTGAACCGATGGAGTGACAGCTGCAGAATGGATGCACTGTGTGATGGCTGCCCTTTACAGACACAGCTCTGGCTTCTACATCTCCTGATCATTTCCCAGTGAATAATGTTTTATACAACAACAGAGCTCATGCAGTAATCCTGGGGAAAACTCTTCTGTGCTGGGTTACTCAGCCCCTCAGAACATCTGAGTTTCCTCAAACAACCCCTTGATAGTAGTCTCACCTTCATACAACTCAGGGCTGTCATACATTAGAAGGCTCTCTTGCTGGCTAGGGGACATGCTGGGTATGTTTTCCTGCTTCTCTGTTGCACAAGGGGAGCTTTAAACCTGTCTGTACTTGTCCAGAACTCCAGCTTTTCATATCAATCTCAGAAAATTGCTGCTGGCACTTTGGAAGGATCACACCAAGTCCTTTGGCATGCCTTCAACAATTGCTGCTTTCCCTAGAGCTAATGACTAAGCATCCCTTTTTGTCTGAATCTAGGATGAAATCACCCCTAGAAGATGCCTGATTCAGCATGTGATCCAAGTAACTCATCTAAATGAGATGTCATTAGACTCAGAGTCGACAATGTTTTAAGGTCACATCTTATCCACACCATAAACTCTGACAGGTTTCACCCAAAAATGCACAAGGTGAGTATTGTTTATGAGTTCTGGCCTGCGGTTTATTATGGAGGAATTTATAAAATATACATGCAAGAAGTTATGTCACGTTAAAGTCTTGCGCTGTTTGGAGAAAAGCTTCTGTAAGTTAAAAACTTTCTGCACTCTCATGAAGCCGTTCTGCAGGGTAAGATGGTACAAAGATGGTACAATTACCTTGGAAACTCTCCAGAAGGAGGGAGTAAAACAGATCTGTCTTTTGCTGAGCATGGAAGGAACAAAGGCACATAAATGTGAGAAAAGGCAGCAACTGATTTCTTTGTCTTATGCTTTTGGCCATTGTAATTAATTTGGGGAAGTAGACTCTGTTAACTAGTATGTATGTTGGAAGGAATCAGAAGTAGTGAGAAAAAAAAGCCAAATTATTTCTGCAATGAAGCATGATTGCCTATAGACTGTAGCTGTAAGAACAGAAGGCTGGATACAACCTTGAAGGTCTGTGTCTTCTAGTTCCCCCCTGACTATCCTTCAATAATTCGGGGGCTCTGAACAGAAGACTTACAAATATCATGCAGCCATGAAGTGTTAATTTAAAAGCTTTTGATTGCTTTATCCAGATTTTGATTGCATTAATTACTTTATTCTGATAGTATGCCTTCATTTCTGTTACTTCTTATTCTCCAAGGGTTTGTTAATTCCAGACTTTTTAAGATGTCACACACTGAGTAAATATGAACCCAACTCAAGAGGATAGCTCTGTCCTGCAAGCACAGAATGTGTATTTCCCTGCCATCAAAACCAATGGAACAAGGCAATTTCACTGGAGTGAAGAATACTTTCCTCATATCAGGACCTCAAATGACAAATTACTGGTTTTACAAAAGCCTTAAGAAAGACAACAGAATTAACTCAGCTTCTTGATCCCTTCTTAATTCCTCTAAAATTCCTTCCCCTCTGCAAAAAATAAAAACGTATGAATTCTGCTAGTATATTCTTTGAATGTTGCAGCTTTTTTTGGAGCCATTCTGAAGCCATTCTGGCTTTCTGAGAGCAAAAAAACTCTCAGGGGTAAGTTATATTTCTGTATTTTAGAGAGGTGAAGGGAGAGCCAGCAGTCATTGTCATAAATATGTTGCTATAATCTGATCAATTGTCCTTGCCCTGTAAGAAAAGGTCTCTTGCTATTAGAATGCAACAGCTCTCCTCTGTAACATCTGAGAGCTTATTTTCTGCTTCTACTTTACTATACACAATCTGGAAGTCCAAGATATTTTGGTACTCCAGTTAAACACAAATTCATCTTCTTAATTTGTCCGAAACTTCAGTGTTTTTACCTGTAGCTCCTGCCTTAATGTCCACACATTCCACCATGTATCTCCCCCAGTGCTGCCTTTATCACCTCTAGTTTCACACATGCCAGATCTTGTGTTCAACAGGACGGGTAAACCATGTCGTGAAAGCTGTGCATGGGGAGAAAAAGAGCAGCACTGTGGTTTACTGGAACACAGCTGATAGAGAAACCAGTATAAAATCCAAGCTATGAAGACCTGCAGAACCCTTAGGACAAACAGCAGCCATCTCTCCCAAGTGCAGGAGTCATCAGGAGGCAGGCTGCTGTTGAAAACCTCTGGCAGAGAGCTTAGCTTCTGCCCAATGCACCATAGCAGGCTCCAAGTTTGACACAACACAGACTGAAGCACACAGCTGTTGGAAATAAGGTATTTATGACTGAATTTGTGG